CCGCGAGCTTGAGAGAGGAGATCTGCTCTGACTGGGATGGGCCACGGGGCTGTCTGTGACAGCTGCGTGAGCTCCGGAACCCAATTCTGACTCTCCCAACGCGGGGCTATGAGGAGCACCGAGTGGCGTGTGTCCCTGATCCTCTGAATTACCTGTGGTAACAGAGCGATCGGAGGGAATGCATAGAGCGGGCGGCGAGGCCATTCCTGGGCTAGCGCGTCCTCGCTCTTCGAGAAATATATTGGGCAGTGAGCGTTCTCTTCTGACGCGAAGAGGTCTACTTCTGCTCTGCCGAATAGTCGCCACAGTAACTGGACCGTCTGTGAGTTCAGGGACCATTCTCCTGTGGAGATGAGGTTCCTGGACAGTATGTCTGGACCGTCGTTCAGATGGCCCGGCACGTGCGTCGCTCTGAGCGAGAGCAGGCGGCTCTGAGACCAAACTAGAATGCGGTGCGTCAGTCGACAGAGATTTCTGGATCTGACACCGCCCTGACGGTTGAGATAGGAGACCACGGCCATATTGTCCGAACGGATCAGGACGTGGTGTCCCTGGATGCGCGGGAGAAAGTGCGAGAGCGCGTTCTCGACCGCCAGCATTTCCAGACAGTTTATATGTAATGGGCTTTCCTGAATCGACCAGTGGCCGAAGGCCGGTGAGCCCTCGCAGACTGCACCCCAACCCGTGTTGGATGCATCTGTCGAGATGACTTTTCGGCAGGAAAAGGTCCCCATCGTGACGCCTAGACGAAACCATTCTGCTACTGTCCATGGCTGCAGCGCCGTGAGACACGTTTGCGTAACCCTGATCAGCTGGCGACCCGTGTTCCACGCGCGGTGGGGTACACGGCTGTTCAACCAGAACTGAAGCGGGCGCATGTGCAGAAGGCCCAGCTGAAGTACAGCGGAGGCTGAGGCCATGTAACCCAGCATCCTCTGAAAAGTTTTCAGAGGCCTGCGGGTGCCCATCTGGAACGAGGCGGCTAGACGCTGAACACTGCGCGCGCGCTGTGTAGACAGGCGAGCCGTCATCGTGACCGAGTCCAAATCTATTCCTAGGAAGGAAATCGATTGACTGGGATGAAGGGAGCTCTTTGTCCAGTTGACAGAGAGGCCCAGCGTTTCCAAATGGTCGAGGAGAACTGCGCGGTGCGACAGAAGCTCCGTCTGTGATTGGGCCAAAATCAGCCAGTCGTCCAGATAATTCAGAATGCGCAGCCCCTGGCTTCGCAGGGGGGCGAGCGCCGTATCCATGCACTTCATGAATGTACGGGGCGCCAGAGATAAGCCGAACGGGAGAACGGCGTATTGATAAACAAGACCCTCGAAGGCGAAACGTAAGAATGGCCTGTGACGGGGATTTATCTGGATCTGAAAATAGGCGTCTTTCAGGTCTAGAGATATGAACCAGTCCCCTTGGCGCACCTGCGCGAGGAGTTTCCTGGTAGTGAGCATCTTGAACGGTCTCTTCATGAGCGCTTTGTTCAAAGACCTGAGATCTAAGATCGGTCTGAGGCCGCCGTCTTTCTTTGGAACCAGAAAATAACGGCCGTAAAACCCCGACTCGGTCATAGATGGCGGGACTCTCTCTATCGCGCCCTTTTGCAACAGCGTCGCAATTTCTGAGCGGAGCGTGCCGGCGGCCAGCGGGCTGACAGAAGATTCGAGCTGCGCGCGCGCACGAGGCGGGCGGCGGCGAAACTGTAGCAGGTAGCCGTTCTTTATAATGCTTAACACCCACGGGGAAATGCCTGGAATGGCTTCCCACGCTTTGGAGCATGCGGCTAGTGGCCGAATGGCTGTATTGCCCTGATTGCTGCACATAGCGGGCTGGACACAGTGTGTGGGCGCGCTTTGAATGTGTGTGGCAACGGGATTTGCACTCAGAGAGGAGTCTATGGGCCGTGACACAGAGCGAGCAGAGAGGGGACACGTGCACGAGCTCGTGGGCGTGTTTATGTTCTCTGATATTAGAGCGGGCTGTGCCCGTTTCATGTGATGGGGCTCTGATAGAGACACGGGATATGTTATGCTTGTGTGTATGGGTGAACACATGATTGTGGGCACATTTTCTACACAACTGGCAAAATTTCTCTTTTTGAGATTTCTCTGGGTAGCCGTAAAAACGGCTTTTTGTCGCTCGCAAGCGGGCTGGGACACCGGCTTGTTTGTGGCGGTCAACACTACAGCAGTCGGCGAAATAACGGGGACTGGCAGAGGGCGAAGCTTTGACGGCGGTCCGGCCGCGGCGGGAGAGCACCGTCGTTTTCTTGACATTGTTAGGCAGACTTCTGATGATCAGGCTTCAGCGTGATCTTGGGTCGCGGGCCACGGGGGGGCGGCGGTCTGCGGCGGCTGTCAGAGCGAGAGCGAGGGCGAGGGCGGCCGCTCTGACTGCGCTGAGTTGTTTGAGTCTGCGGAGGGGGGCGCTGTGATGGGGCTCTGGTCCAAGCGCTGTGATGCAGATCCAAACAGGCCCGTCGGGGAGAGGGGCGCGTTGAGAAACGCGGCGCGCTCAGAATCTCCCATGTCGGCGAGCGTGAGCCATAAGTGTCTCTCAGCAACACAAAGGCTGGCCATGCATTTCCCCAGAGCTTGTGCGGCGGCTTTAGTGGCGCGAAGGGCGAGATCCGTAGCACTTCTCAAATCCGTGACGGCGGGGGGGGGTTTTCTACCGCCTTCGGCCCATTCACGGAGAATATCGCTCTGTAACACTTGGAGGACAGACATAGAGTGAAGCGCAGCGGCGGCCTGACCGGCGGCGGCGTAAGCGCGAGCATGAAAGCTCGAGGTCGCTCTGCAAGCCTTCGAAGGAAGCGTGGGTGAAGAACGCCATCTAGCGGAGGGCGGGCAGAGGTGTGTGGCGACCAAGTCCTCGACGGGCGGCATGGCTGCATAGCCTTTCTCGGCGGCTCCGTCCACCGAGCGCAGCGAGGCGGATACATCGGAGCGATTTCTAGCCGAGAGCGGTGCATTCCAGGATTTTGTCAGCTCTGCGTGAAGTTCAGGCAGGAATGGAGCGGCCCGGGTGCACGCGGGGGTCGAGCGCCGATGAAAAAAGCTACCGTCCATTCGGTTCGGGGCCTGCTCGGGTGGAGGAGACCACTCGAGACCGAGGCGTTCGACGGCCTGTGAGAGGAGGCGCATCAGCTCCTCTTCTATCCCGGCGCGGGTCCCCGTCGACTCTCTCGCGGATCCGAGAGATGACCAGTCTTCACTGTCAGAAGCGAGCAGTGAACAGGAGTCCTTCTCCTCCGCGGCGTCATCGGAAACAACAGAGCGGCCACTCGGCGGCAACTGAATGTCCGGCGGGGAGGGAGAGCGGGAAGCGGGAGGCGGCGGCGGCGGCCCGCATGTTTCCGCTGGGGGCTCCGGCGGCCTTTGAGAGCGGCGTTTCTTTTTACGCGGCGAGAGAATAGGCGGCGCGGGAGCGGTTTTCACTGCCAGAAGTCGTGCCCGCAGGGACGATAACGGCAGGCTTTCACAGAGGTCGCATCCTCCATCAGCGAGGGCGAGTTCTGCATGCTCGAGTCCCAAGCAGAGAGCGCAGATGACATGGCGGTCTCCGTCCTCGAGACGAGCGCGGCAAGAGCCGCAGGAAAAACGAGACATCTTTAAAAAGACGCTCGGCTCTTTTAGAAATAGAGAAAGGATACAATCGTCGGATGGCCTAGCTTGCTGGGCGGCTGAAGGTGGCGAAGACGGCCGGCTTCTTCAGGGTCCTTGAGCTCGCTAGAGGATGCCTTCTTCGACGGCGATGGCTTTTCTCAGGAACAGCAGAAGCGTGCAGCTTGCTGAAGATGAAATGAATCAACATATAAGCCTGGGAGAGCGCCTTATATACACCATGGACACGCCCATTCTGGCGGGTCATGACGCAATGAGCGCGCGGGCGCCTCTCATTGGAAGCGGGTTCAGCCCCGCTCTCCCATAGGCTTAAGCAGTTCTCTCTGAGCGAACCAATGAGCTGCTAGCTAGCCCGCTCTAGGTCTGCCGCAGAGGAACTGCGTTGTGTATGGATACAAAATTATGAAATAATTTTTTGGCTTCAATATCTCAGCAAAGATGAATCTTTCCCGCAGCGTAAGCTAGCTTACGCAATACGAGAGAACCTCTCGTAAGAGAACCAATAGACTAGGCTACTATAATGACGCTGGCTTGTAAACGCGATCATTTGTCGTTATAAAAAAAATAAAACACATGAAATTATATTCATATGACATGCTGAAATATATGCCACTGTACCTGGGATGAAGACATTTCACACACGCGAGAACACCTGCATGTGACCTCCTCCTACAGTGTTCAGGGCTATCATGGTTGTCAACAAATGCACGTGCATGTAGGATGACAGTTTACGACAGTAGTAGAGGACAATACTGTTTCCCAACTGTAGGGGGAGCCCGAGAGCAAAAAACGACCTGTTGTTACTTTAAAATAACTCTAAAATAATGATTTATGAATTTGGGATATGTAAGAGTTCGCAAAAAATTGCATTTATTTCACCTCTGACTGTTCACACTAAAGCCACATTGCAAAAAAAAAAAAGGTCATATTTAGCATATAATATTTGTTATTCACTGTCAAAAATCAGATGTGTCACTAGCTATGTTTCCATCCATCTATTTTTAAGCACATTTTGGGATATCGCTAAAAAAAACCTGCTGGATGGAAACGGCAAGATGTGCATAAATTTGAAAAATGTATGCGCTCAATCCTATTGCAGCAACTTCCATTTTTATTTGTGACATTTAGTGCTAGTTTATCAGGAAGTGAGGATTTTGTTCTCTTCGACTCATTGGATGGAAATGCTGCTTTATTCGCAAATGTTTTAATGCGAAAATCCAATTTAGCGCTAAGTTAATTTTGCAACTTTGGATGGAACCACAGCTGTTGTGAGGGAAGAAAGTCAGATTTGCGCCATAATCAACTGCAATGTGAAAGTATGTAAGAGCTACTTCTGAGTAATATACTGATTCATGTTTACACACTCTCTCACAGATGTTCTTACAGTGGCCGGTGGAGAGCTTCAGGAGCTGAACTCCAAGTGTAACTTCTTCCCTGACCCATCAACCTTCAGCAGCGAGGACATGTCACAAGATTTTGGTATCCCTCGTACCTCCAGCATTGCCAAATCCAAACGCCCTTCAGTATCTTTTGCAGAGGGCACAAAGTTCACCTCTAAAGAGCGCCGTAGCTCGACCCAAGATCTGCCAGGAACTACTCGGAAACCCAAAGCCTGGGGTGTGCTGATGATTTCTGCCCTGCAAGGAGGACAGGGAAACCATAGTGAGATAGAAACAGAAAAAGAAGAAAAAAACAATGAGGAGAGCATCTCCTCTGAGGAGCAAGCAGCTGCCTCTGAAACATCACAATCTGACTCGGGAAGATATAGTTCTGGCCCGCTCAGGACTCACCTCACTGTGCCCGGTGGGAGACGACGCACACTTTCCAATACTAGGAAGAACACCCAGCCATCTGATGGCAGCCATTCAGATGCAGATTCAGAGAAGTTAACAACTGTTTATGTGACTGTAGGTAAGACCCAAAAGATGGCTAAGGAAGAGCCGCCTTCAGAAGGGCCCGTTCAGGCAATGCTGCGCAGATTAGGCAGCCTCCAGAGACAAAAAGAGGAGGCTACCCAGCCCAAAGGCAGGGGGCAGGCGATTGCCAAGCCCCCGCGGAAGAAACTGGGAGCACGGGCCAGTGCGTGGGAGCAAACTTCTGGGTCCGGCCAATCAGAGGTGGTCATGAGGAAGCCTAGTCGCAGGAAACACAGCTCCCTCAGCTCTCCCTGCACAGTAGGGGCAACAGACTTTCCTCAGGAGAACAGCACCCCGAAGAGGCCCTTGTCCTCTATTTTAAAAAGTGTCCCAGAGAGCGAAACCCTCCATAGTTTAGAGGTGGAGCAAGACACAGAAGTAGATTGTGAGACAGACGCTCTGACAGAGCACGCTTATGAGACTGTGGCTCCGTCTGATGGGGTCTACACCTCTTCAGAGATTATTATTAATGAAACCGTTATGGACCAAGCAGAAAATGAGCCAAGTTATGAGAATGTTTATGTAAAGCATTCATAATATTCCTGAATCTTAAAGTTATTGATTTAAAGGGCAATATTTCCATTTTAAGTTGTACTGTATGTAAGTTTTGCATAAACTGCATAAACATATTTACATCGAAAGTTTTGTTTGTTGATATATTTTCATTATATTTGTATTATAAATACGTTAGACCTATAACTTCTGCCACTAAAGATTGCTTTATCAATAATCTTCCTAATCAGTTTCATCATCTCAGCATCCCAGATAGCTTAGAAGAACTCGATATTGCAACAGAAACTTTTAACTCTCTCTTTTCCAGCACTTTAGACGCAGTTGCTCCATTGCGCTTAAAGAAGATTAAAGAAAATAGTCCAACACCGTGGTACAACGAGCACACCCAGGCCCTTAAGAGAGCAGCCAGAAAAATGGAGCGCAACTGGAAGAAAACTAAACTAGAGGTATTTCGGATTTCATGGAAAGAGAGCTCGATTGCTTACAGAGAGGCCTTAAAAGCTGCTAGATCTGCTTATTTTTCAACCCTATTAGAAGAAAATAAACATAATCCTAGGTATTTATTTGAAACAGTAGCTAAACTAACGAAAAAGAAAGCTTCAACCCCAGAAGTGTCCAAGCAACACAGCAGTGATGACTTTATGAACTTCTTTACTTATAAGACTGATAATATCAGGGACAAAATTATAACTATGCAACCGTCTACCACAGTATCGCATCAGGGAGTGCATTGTAGTGTCCATGAGGAAAAATTTGATTCATTTGTTGCCATAGGAGAGGACGAATTTTCTAAACTCGTTAAATCATCTAAATCGACAACATGTATGTTAGACCCTATACCGACTAAGCTACTGAAAGAGATGCTTCCAGAGGTCATAGATCCTCTTCTTACTATCATTAATTCGTCTTTGTCTCTAGGATACATACCAAAAACCTTTAAGCTGGCTATGATTAAACCGCTTGTTAAAAAAACGCAACTTGATCATACAAAATTAGTCAATTACAGGCCGATCTCGAATCTGCCTTTTCTATCAAAGATATTAGAAAAAGCAGTATCCTCACAACTGTGTTCCTTTCTAGAAAGAAATGATATCTGCGAGGATTTTCAGTCAGGATTCAGACCGTACCATAGTACCGAGACAGCTCTCATCAGAGTCACAAATGATTTGCTCTTATCATCCGATCGTGGTTGTATCTCTCTATTAGTGTTACTTGATCTTAGTGCTGCATTTGATACTATTGACCACAACATTCTTTTAAATAGACTCGAAAATTATGTTGGGATTAGTGGAGTTGCACTAGCATGGTTTAAATCATACTTATCTGACCGTTATCAGTTTGTAGCAATAAATGAAGATATGTCTTATCGATCACAAGTATGGCGTACCACAAGGCTCAGTACTAGGACCGTTGCTGTTCACTCTGTACATGCTACCATTAGGAGATATCATTAGGGAACATGAAATTAGTTTTCACTGTTATGCCGATGATACTCAGCTGTATATTTCTTAACGCCCCGACGAAACTTACCAATTCACAAAATTAACGGAATGCATAGCCGATATAAAAAATTGGATGACTAGTAATTTCCTACTACTAAATTCTGAAAAAACAGAGATTCTAATTATTGGACAAAGAACTGCCACACGTAATAACCTAGAATACTGTCTAACACTTGATGGTTGCTCTGTCAAGTCTTCGTCGTCGGTTAGGAACCTGGGTGTGCTCTTTGATACCGATCTCTCATTTGAAAGTCACGTGTCTAGTATCTGTAAAACCGCATTTTTCCATCTTAAAAACATATCTAAATTACGCCATATGCTCTCATTAACAAATGCAGAACAATTAGTTCATGCGTTCATGACATCAAGGCTAGATTATTGTAATGCTCTACTGGGTGGTTGCCCTGCACGCTTAATAAATAAACTACAGCTAGTTCAAAACGCAGCAGCTCGAGTTCTTACCAGAACCAGGAAATATGACCATATTAGCCCGGTTCTGTCAACACTGCATTGGCTGCCTATTAAACATCGTATACATTTTAAAATATTGTTGATTACTTACAAAGCACTAAATGGCTTAGCTCCGCAGTACTTGAGGGAGCTTTTAAAGCATTATAGTCCTTCACGTCTTTTGCGATCTCAAAATTCCGGCCAGTTGACAATACCTAGAATATCAAAATCGACTGCAGGCGGTAGATCCTTTTCTTATTTAGCACCAAAACTTTGGAACAGTCTTCCTACCATTGTCCGGGAAGCAGACACACTCTGTCAGTTCAAAGCTAGACTAAAAACATATCTCTTTGACCTAGCATACACATAATACATTATAGACTTCGATAATTCAATGTTAGGCTGCACTTCCCTTAAATCCAGATGTACTCGTTACATCATAAGAAGAATGGCATCTACGCTAACTTTAGTGTCTTTGTTTATCCCGAGGTTTTCCTGCAGCCTGCCGGATCCAGGCCGTATCCAGATCTGACGAAGGAGATTCGCCTGGACCCGATGACAATGCAGTGCTGAAGTGTCAACTATCCTCTCCCTATGGAGGATCCCGTTCACACTCTACAGATAAAGCGTTGTTGAAAATCCGGTTTGCGTACCTCGAAGTGATAAAATAAAATTCTGTATCAAATTTATAGGCAAGACAAGTAGTTTGTTTAGGCATGTTTTGTTGGGAAATTACAAATTACACATATTCAAACGAATATAAATATAGAATACATTTTTAATGTGCATGTGAACGCCATCAGGTCACAGGTTCACGTTTAAAGTCTGTTTAGAGAGAACGCCGTCGTCTTAGTGGCCCCTAATGTAATAACAAATGATAATTTTGCTGGAAGTGAATCAATCAAAACCAACTTTAGCTGGAAATAACATTATTCAAAAATCGCTATAAAGCCAAAACAATCTCTGTTACCTTAAATTGTATGTTTATCTCTGTAAAGCTGCTTTGAAGCAATCTCCATTGTTAAAAGCGCTATATAAATGAACATGACTTGACTTGACTATATTTCATGCTCCCTTTATAACCCATAAGTAACTGTTTACATACACTGACTTTCAAATACTTGGTCAATTTGTTTTTTGTTTTGTTTTTTAAAGAAATAATACTTTTATTCAGAAAGGATGCAATAATTTGATCAAAAGACTGACTTTTGACAGTAAAGACTTTTACATTGTTAGAAACATTCTATTCTACTACTTCAAAAACATAAACAAAAAAAATCGCACAGACACCAAACATATGAACGGTAGTGTAAATCGGTCCTGGGCCAAGATATGAACCCTGCAGCAATTATGCATGAAATAACTTTCATAACAATATAGAAAAAATATTATTGGCTTGCGTCTTGATTCTCCTCAAAGAGTATTTTATCTTAAGGCCGTGTAAGTGTGCATTTGCATATCTTGGTTTTTGGCATCTCTTTCTCTATGCGAGATACATAAAGATTTTTTACGTGCTTTAAAAAGTCTTTACATGCATCGCTACAGCACAGTTGTTCTTGGCAGAATGACACTGATTACTTGTAATATGGGGTCATGTAGATAAATTCAATTGCTTGATATTGGCAGTACTCAGTCTTTGGATAGAGAAAGAAACCACAATAAACTGATGAAATGTGCCAAAACACTTTCTGGAAATTTGAATGATATTGGTAGTTGGCAGCAAAAATGACAAGAAATTTTGCTGGAGAAGCTAAACCTTGACCTTTTTAAAGAGATTTCTGTTCATATTTTTTTCGAGAGGACTTTCATAGGCACAACCTAATAAGCTGATGAATGCATTACATAGAAATAATGACTTAATATTTTTAGATCAAAAAACATTGTTTATTGAAAGATTGCACAACTGTTCCTAAGTTGCGAAGCTCATGGCAACTTCAGCCTTTTGTAAGTATCAGTAAATTCCTCTCGTGCAATTGCTTTTATTCTCATTAAATTCATATATCTGTTTATTTGAAATGATATCTTTTAGACTAAAAACTGCATGGTGTCCACTGAGCTTAATCAATCACCACAACAATCAGGAATATTTATGAATGATGTCGTTCCATGTGTGTAGAAATCTGTGGAGAGATTCTATAAGGCCTTACTTATCACCCTTATTTTTGACCTTACAAATGCAGCTTATTTTTGTATGCCTGTATGATAAATACTATTAAATGGCCGTTGTTTACAGTTGGACTCATCTCTTTTCTGCTCCTGGCGTGTCTTTGCAGCCAAGCCAGTATTTTCCAATAGGTCTTGGGTAGGGAGGGTTTGCATAGTCAACCCGCTTCGTTCGGAGATTCACTCTGTAGTACATATCTGTAAAGAAATTGTTTTACATACTTATATAATATAATATAAATATACTGTAGGCTAATACAATACTAATATACTGTAGGTAGGCTAATATAATACTATCATTTAAATTTCAGTACCTCCTTTGAAGAAGTAGACACTCTGTAAGGGCTGACGCCTGTGCAGCATGTCATGGACAATGTCTTCCGAAGGTTTGTATCTGTAGTCAGAATCGTAGTCATTTTGTCTATGATAATAGTCTCTGCGTCTGTCCTGATCTTGCCACCTGTCCTGCCCAAACCTCTGAGCATACTCATGTCCAATGCTGATGCCCCTCTCAGCCATAGTTTCCCAGTATGGTGACCTATTCTGCCTGCGCCTGGAGCCCCACTGCTGCCCATAGCGTTGGCCCCACTGCTGCCCATAGCGTTGGCCCCACTGCTGGTCCCAATCCTGCCGATTTCTGTCCTGGCGCCTTCTGTTGGGCCATCTCGGAGTGACGTAGAGTCTGCCGGCTAGCACAGCATCCACAGGTGATTTGATCCCAATCCAGTCTTTGTTGATGAAGTGATGGCCACCGTGATGACTTTGGGCTGGAAAAAAGCAATTAAAAGTTGTGTTATGAAAGCTTTCCCAGGTGCATAATATTGATAGCTTGCCCTAAAAAAGTATTACCTCCACCAAAGAGCTGGTTGAAGTGCTCAACCCATCGGTCGTAGTAAATATCAGTGTATCTGCTGAAGAGTGCTGAGGGAGATCTCAATGACATCTGAATGCACTCCTTATGGGATGGCTGGTGCTTGAACTCATACTGGTAATACTGGTCTCCTAGAAAGAAG